TATATATATATATATATATATATATATATATATATATATATATATATACATATAATATAATATACATATAATATATATATATATATATACATAAAATATCGTTTACAAAACCTAAAAGCTCTCATATTAGTCAAACTCTAATTGATATTTATCTTTTCAAAGTAAAATAATATTTTCTTGGATGGATCCAAGAAAAGCCAAAAAAAAAGAAAAAAGAAAAATTGGGTGCCTGAGTTTTATACGACCGTATCTCACTCTGGTAAGTGAGAGATGAAATCATTTTTGGAACGTTCTGATTTAGTCTCAAAATATCGAATCATGATTTTTTTATTTAATATTAATTTAAAAAAAAATCATGAGACTATTAACACAAAATGACATCTTCCCAAAGATGCCACCTAAACTCATTAATAAAAACTTCAATTTTTATTTAAGGTCTTGAGTTTAAATCCTGTCTTTCTTATTTACTCCTATGTTATTTGTGAATTGACAGTTGTCAAGCTTCACTGTTATCAGGAGAGAGCAAGTAGCAATCTAACAACAAGACTATGCTTAATGCACATAGACATGCAGGCAAAACAGAATCAAACACAGAATGCACACCACATAGATCCAAAGTCAAGGGATGTCGATAGACCGCAATCCCTGTTGCCTCGGCCGTCCAATCTGCAGAGGATGTGTAGCCGAGTTCCATCAACAACAGTTGTGAGGTGCAAGTAGTATTAGCTAATAAATTGGAGAGATGACCAGATAAAAATGAAGTATGGAAACACTGACTCATTCACCTTATTCTCATTAAAGCGTAAATGCAGGCCACAAAGAGTAAACCAAAAGCTTAACAACCATATGGACCATGTTAAACTTCAATGACTACATGCAAGCAATGCAACTAAAGGTCCGACGAAACGACTGGTTCCTGATGAAGGTTGAATGTGTGCCTAGTTTCCAATAACATGTGGTAGAAGACCTCAAAAAGAACACAAGCAGAACTCGCGTGTTCTTAGATGTGGGCATTAAGATGGGGCACCTAGATACGACGCCAGTCGCAGAATATCGCTGAAGACTCCACCAGCAGTGACTTCGGCACCAGCACCAGGCCCACGGACGATCAGCGGCTGATCCTTGTACCTTGTGGTGGTGAAAGCTATGATGTTATCCGAACCAGAAAGCTGTGCAAACGGGTGCTCCCTCTTGTATCTCCTCAACTCCACACGGCCTTTCTCGTTAACGGCATCGACGACACCAACATATCTCAACACCTTCAGATTGAGAAGAGCTAATGAATCTCTCTTCCGAGACAATGTTGTCTAATTACACTGAAGTGGATCAGATCACCCACCTCTCCTAAAGCTTCGGCAGCATCTCGTTCCTCTGAAAGTTCTTTGTCAAAGTTGGGCAGTTGCTGCATAAATTCCTCAGGTGAAGAACATGCCTACAAATACAACAGTTAGAGAAGCATCACATTGATTTGTAAAGGTGTAGCTTCAATAATGTACATTCTTACTCTTAGTGGCTCTGGGACAAGGCTCTGGACAGGGATATCGGAAAGCTCAAGCTTTAGACCCGACTCTCTTGCAAGAATTATGACCTGCAATCATAGAAATTTAGATAACACTTGTTATCTGAGCAGTCACAACATCAAACAAATGACTAACATATAATCATTTAGTCAATTGTGGCTTCCAGTCGTTTCACAAAATCATCCTAACACAAGAAATCCAGCAGACACTAGTTACAATCAATATAAAAAAAAAACTAAAACATATCCTCACCTTTCTAGCAACATCTGTTCCAGATAGATCATCTCTTGGGTCAGGCTCAGTATATCCAGCCTCTTTTGCTTCAGATACCACTTCGCTAAAAGCTCGTGTTCCTTCGAAGTTGTTAAAAATATAACTCAATGTTCCACTGCAACAGTACCACCCAAGAATAGACTACAGGAGTCAATCTGATAGGTTAAGAAAGATCAGCCACAAAGATATATTCTCTAGATACAAGACAATTGCGTCCAGATTTTTCAAGGGGCATACTATGCATCTTCCTATGCACACCTGAAGATGCCCTCAATATGCAAGATTTTGTCACCAGTTTCAAGAAGTCCTCGCAAAGTGCTGATGATTGGGAGTCCAGCACCAACTGTTGCTTCATAGAAGTAGTGAGTGTACGATAACCGTTGCAGCATCCGTAGTTTTAGATACTATATATTGATGATACATCAGTATTTGTTGCCAAATTTATAATACATATGTACAAGTTGAAAGGGTTGTGCTACAACATCAACCATCAGCAATCAAATAAGAATGTCACCCCAAAGTTAAGATTCAGAAAATAAACAAACAACACAATTGCACTGGTCATTTTGCTGATTTAACAGGTCTTCAAACTAGCCTTACGTGCATGTTCCAGGTGCTGATTCATTTTTGACATCAAAAGCCCAGAGATGCAGAGTTAGGGAATATTTTCATCTCTTTGCAGCTTCAAAAATCAACAAAAAGAACATATATATACCAAACATAATATATAGAAAGTTTGTAATATGTCAAAAAAGAAAAAAACTTTTATAGGGCCTGAAAATAATCCACATATGTAGTCAATTAAAAGTCAGCTGCTATGCTATTTCAGACTGTTTTACCTCGGGAAATTTAGCGACAACAAAAGCCTTGGCAGCAGTAAGGCATCATGCTCTTGTGGCTACCATCAATTTGTCATTGATCCTTGTTTCTGTTAAATGTTTCGTTCTCTTCTAACTCTGCATTACTCACTCATTGATTCACAGATTATTTTCTCCCACTAAAATGATTAAAAAATTCCAAATTCATCTCCTAAATGTAAAGTCCATATAAGAAGCACCTAATGTTTTTAAAGCTCCATCCTTTCAGGACTCTCCTAAATGTAAAGTCCATATAAGAAGCACCTATACTTATTTCATTATATTGGAGGTTGTGATTTCACTATATGACCTGGTGTGCAGGCAGTATGAAAAAGTAATTGACCACTAAAAGCAATAGGAAAACTATCAATCTTTTGGCCAACAAACATAGAATGAATCCTATAAACTAAATTAGACTTGAACCCACCAAACGGACATGGATTCTTCAAGAATGCTAAGCTCAGACCTAAAATGTGTGTGCATAGGCTGACAGTGGACTACTTCAAACACAACCATCAGCAAACCAAGTTTCTAGAAAAAAATTAGTGCTTTATCCATTATGGTTTTACTAAATACCAGGCTGAAATTGCAGCTGAGGATCTTACAACAAAAGATTAATTAGAAAGCATAATCAGTCCAGCAGAAAACACTGGATGAATGGCTAAACAAGCAACATAAAAGGAATTATCACAAATGCAAAATATGAAGAATGTCTTTCCAGAATAACAAAATGAAAGGTATATGAGAACTAGCCAATGGAGGAGCTAATTACCCGATCAAGAGGTCCAGAATTTGCCTTTTTGTTAGGAGTAATAACATGGATGCCATTACGCAGCCAATCGTAATAGTTGTTTGCAACATTTGTATCTGCCGTGCAATCTACCAACACCGTATTTGGAAAAAAATGATTTTCATGCACATGCTTAGCAAATTTGTCTAAATCAGCCACTTCAGCCTTTTCTTTCTGAATTTCTCGCCATTTGCTCAAGTCTATTCCCCTGAGAAAGCAGCTAAGAAAGTTGGAAAGCGGATGTAATAAATGTAAACATGAGCCTATATAATTCAAGCTCCAAAACCACTGCTTCCTCTGATACATAGATCAAGAAGATGAAGTTCGGCTTTCAGTTAGAAAACATTACCCTTATTAAGCTTATTAGTATGTTGAGACTAATCATTTACTCCATCAAATTTGTTAATGAATTTTCCCTGAACATATTCATTGGTTCATGCCATATATTTCTTGTGAGATCTATGCAATCATTCTTATGCTTATAAAGTCTAGGAGATAGTGCCCAATTACTAGTTTGATACTTCAGATTTCTGGTACGAGTTGAGAGTTATCTCCTAATGCACATAACATAGTGATT